AGGGTGACCTAGCAACCCCTGCCAGCCTAGGGGAGGACATCAGAGAAATAGGAACAGGACAACACTGACTGGGGGCGACACCCACAGGATCGGGGGTTACATTCCTCAGGCCTCACATCACTTTGTCCCTAGCCAAAATGGGAGGAATGGGCTTCCACCCATGCAGGGAGGGCAGGAAGGGCAAGTAAGAAATCTAGCCAGCACCCCAGCGCCCTAGCTAGAGTCACTCAGAATACATCAGAGAACTCCCTCCAGGCCTGCTCTGACTAGCAGCCATGGTCGGCGCCATGTAAATGACTCCAGTGGAACCAAATGGAACTTTCTGCTGAGGTGTGTTGGTGATGGCCACAGCCTCTGTCCAGGAAACCTTCAGGACTCTGTCTCAGAACTCCAGCTCCATACCCAGAAACCTCCGCAAGACTGGCACCCAGACTGCTGCCCCGATTCCAAGAGGAGGGCACAATGGACTGGTCCCTGAAAGCTCCAGGGAACTGAGGGGCCTATTTGGGCCTCAGAGCCCAGCAGTGACTGGTGTCATCACCAACACCTCTTAGGCCCAGGTCCTGTTGCCATCAGGAGGGGTGGGAGAAATGGAAAATTGGCCAGGTGGGGTTCCAGGTCCCCCTTCCCAGAATGGAGGTAGTTTCCTGTTTTTCTCTCCTTAGGCTTCCTCCCTTCCCAGAGGAAGAAGTGAACTGCCCTATTCTAGGGGTGTCTCTGAACATGCCCCTCTCCACCCTGGCCCTCCATGAACTCTCATGAGCAGCAGCCAGTTGGCTGAGGCTATGGAAACGGATGGCCAGGAGACAGAGGCAGCTCCCAATTGATCCTGTGCCAGCAAGGCATGGCTGCCATACAGTGTGGACAAGGGTGGGCCCTCCAGCCAGGCCACAGGCCTGCTCAGGGGCCAGAAGGGGAGGAGGGAGGGGGGTAGCGAGGGGTATTGGTCAGGAATGTCCTGTGAGGCCTGTGCTTATCCTAGGGAGATGGGGAATCCAAGGCATGAAGTTAAGTGGCTAGGAAGCGCCATGTTAGTAGTTAGGTGACTTCAGCCTCAGGAAATTAAAGAGAGTTGAGCATCTTAGACTTCATGCCCAGCTTGAGGTTCAGAGCTCACGCATGTTGTGTAGCTGTTTCCTCAAAGTAGAACATGAGAATGCTGTCTTGATCTGGAGCAACTGTGCCCGCCTGGTCACTCATGAGATCAAGTCATTAATGTTCCCTTATGGGGGGTGCAAGGAGGCTCTTGGGGCTCCCAGGGTTTTCAAGAGCTCCTCACTTGGTCCACCCTTTCCCAAAGTTATACAGGAGCTGGAAGACTCCTGGGGAGTTCAAGGAGGAGACTCTTCAATAGCATAGCTACTTGCAAGTCATCCAGGGGATTCTCCCGTGGGGCAGCTTTTTCACGAGCCATCCACATTGCATGTAGGATTCTCCAGTGTAAATGTCCATGAATTGCCCAGGTGACTTCCTATGGAGTTACCCATGTTCCTAAAATGGCCCTAATAAACCCAACTGTTTCACCAAGCTGGACCTGCAGACCCCATTCTCTAGTTGGTTGCTACTCTCTCTATCTAAAGTCACACATGCGATTGTGGTGATGTCCACATTGTCAAGGAGATGGTCTTAGAGGTGGGATTGGCGGATGGTACGGAGGTCAGGACTTAACCAGCACAGTTCCAGGGACAGCCAAGGACACTCGATGAGGGTGGAACAACAATACCTAAGTCATTACTGTCAAGGGTCTCTCCTTCCATGGACACAGAACATTCAGCTGAGCAAGTACAAGTACTTCTTGATATGGGAAAAATCATATGCTGACATCCTAAACTCCATGAACTCAGAATGTGTTTGCATTTGGAAAGATGGCCTCAAAAATTATTAAGGGCCAGGCAGTAGTGGCCTTTAATCTCAACACTTGGGAAGTGGAGGCAGGTGGATCTCTATGAGGTCTAGCACAGTTAAGGCTATACAAAGAAACCCTGTTTTGAAAAGAAAAAAAAAACATTATTAAGGAACTGGGTGTGGTGGTGCACACTGGGAAACTAAGGCAGGAGGCTCAAGAGTTTGAGGGTAGCCTGAGCTACAGTGAAACTCTGGCTCAAAAAGTTTCACCCACCAAAGATGTGCGTAAGGTAAATGAGGTTACGTGGGTGGCCTTAATCCAGCCACTGTGGGGATACAGTGGGAAGATGATGTCTATAAGCCAAGAAGAGGGGCCTCAAGAGCAGCCATTCCTACAGCAACTCTGGTCCTCAGCTTGTAGCACCCATGTCTGTGGGAGACCAAAATTCTATACACAAGGCACCCATTGTGGAGCAATCATAAAGGGCGGTGGAGCAAACTGACCCACTTGCACAATAGAGCTTGTATGTCTCTAGACAGCGGCTCTTAGCCAGGAGTCTCCAGAGAAACAGACTACACAGGTGCTATGGTTACCTTCTGCATACTGGGTTCCCTGTCTAGCTGAGTAAACTGAGGTTCCCCCAAGCAGAAGCTAGGCTACCTCTAGATCCTCCACAGTGGGAACTCTATGTGTCTACTAGGCTCATGGGAGTCTTTAAATGTGACAAAGCCTATTTCTTGGCTTGAGTGTGCTTAAGCTGAGGCTCCAGAAATTCTATGGCCACCTAAGTCATTCTGAGCTAGTAACTCCTAGGTTCATTGTCTCAAAACTGATCACAATAAACAAGTAAATAAATAATCTCGAGGACAGCAGAAGGACAACCAAAGCCTTATTGAAGTAAAGAAGCGGCTCCCTACAAGGAAGGGAACTCAAAAGGGAGTTTCCAGTTGACCTGGACTTGGCGGGGCCATTTCTCATGCCTACTGCTTGAGTCTGCTTGGCTCAGGCCTCCATGTAAACCGGGGACTGGATTGAGAGGTTTCTGTCTATCTGAATTGGATAAATGTGGGAACTTTGTTTAGGTGGAAGATAAGGCAGACACATGAGGCCTCGGGAAAAGCCCACCAGGAGGATTTGAGGGAAAGGAAGAACAGGAAGTGAGGAGAGGAAGAGCCTGTGGTCAACCATCTTTGAAAACGAGTCCCAAGCTACACTTCACAGGGAAGGAACTTGGTTACAGAGGCATTATGCTCACAAGGCCCAGTCCAGTATTCATGGGAAGAGGCCTTTGGAGCTAAATTTTCAACTTTTTTTTTTTTTTTGATTTTTCGAGACAGGGTTTCTCCGTAGCTTTTGGTTCCTGTCCTGGAACTAGCTCTTGTAGACCAGGCTGGCCTCGAACTCACAGACATCCGCCTGCCTCTGCCTCCCGAGTGCTGGGATTAAAGGCGTGTGCCACCACCGCCCGGCTAAATTTTCAACTTTTAATTAATTTCAATTGAGTTGTGTGTGTGTGTGTATGTGTTTTCTGGATTCAGCTTTCACATTCACTGTCCCTGCAGCCTTGGTACACCTCTCCTTGGGAACCTCGCATAGAGCTCACTGAGAAACTGGCTTTGCCTGTCTGTAAAGGTTTTTCTTCTCAGGGGCCTCTTTCCTCTGTCTAAAAAGGAAACTGCCTAACTCTGTCTCTCTCACCAGGCTGGAGAATGGGGCCTAGACACCTGGCCACCTGTTAGGCTGTAATTTACAATTGTTCACATACTTAGTTGAAAAAGTGCAGAGAAGGGCCTGAATTCTCCAACACTAAAAAGCACTTAAAAGTGATGACACTTCAGAGACAGACACACCAATAGCCTGCTCCGACCGTTACACGCTCTAGACGCCTACCCAGTTATCAGACGCTACAGTTACCACTGTCAGTTAAGAGTGATTAAAAATGATGTCTTGGGGTGTGTCTGGGAGAGTGTTTCTCTGTGAGATAAATGGCATTTGAATCAGCAGACTGAGAAAAACCAGGTAGGGCTTGTCCAGTCCGGTGAAGATCTAACTAGAACAGGCAGGAGGAGGGTTGAGGGCTGACTTGGTTAACAGGCATGTTTAACTCTATGCTCCTCCCCCAGCATGGAGTCCCTGCCCCAACTCTATGACACCCCAACAACACAGCCCCAAATTCACAATGGCTTGTGACAGGGATGCTTTCTCAGCAGAGATGCTATCAGCCGGACTCCACTGGACCCTCCAGACCCCACTTGGAGACGCTGCTTTGGGTTGGATTTACCTTCCTTCCTGAGGCTCCACTCCCAGCATGGCCTGCGATTTCCTAGGGAGGAAGCTCACTCAGCTTAAAGCAGAAACTAACCTAGAGGTGAAGTTCAGCTGAAGCTCAGCCTAGACTAGTCGGAGTTTCCTGAAACAAGGTTCTCCTGGTTGCCAGGTGAGGACTAGTGGGGTTCACCTGAAGGCAGGGGTCACTGGCTGTGGGGCTCAGCTGGAGTAAGGGCTCTCTTGAGACTTGGGACCAGGTATGTGGGCTCCAGAAGGAAAGAGACTCAGCCTGCTCTGACTCAGTCACGCTGAGGTGAGAAGGGGGCTGAACTGAGCCTGGTCAGGGACTCCGGGAAGGGATGTGCAGCTGGGAAGTGCAGAGCTGTCCTGGCCCTCATAGGAGGCAGCTGGAGTCTGCTCTGAGAGGGCTCCAAAGGCAACACCACCATCCTGGCCAGCACTACACACCTCCAACACAAGATGGACTACCTCCATGCCTGGAGCTGCAGGCCGACCTTCTGCCTGACTGTTCTTTGTTTCTGACATCTGTGTGCTCCAACAAGCCCCACACCCGACCCTGGCATGCTGCCTGGTACCAAGTGGCACCATCATAGGTCTGATGACTTCCAGGGTTTGGGCTCCAGCTTTATTCCCAAGCTTGTCCCTGAGGAGGGGTCTTCTCTCCCAGCCTCCCTGCAGCTAAGCCGTCTCCCCACAATGAATTGCAGTGAATGCATTTCTGAATGCTCAGACACAGACCCACCACACACGGTTGCACACACACGTGCACAGCGACCCGTGTGCGATGTGGGCTCAGACATATAAGCACACATACACACTTGGATATAAACAAAAGTTAGTTTTATTTTACTTCGTTTGTTCCAGAAGTTGGCTTTAAAACAGGGAGGAGGGCACAAAAGATGGGTCTAGGCTCTCCAGAGCTCTAATTTTCCAGCATGGCCAAAAACACGGCTCTGGACCACAGCCTTATGGATCTAAGCTGCAAGGCATGACAGAATTTCCAGGATGTCCTAGAAACGGCCCATGCCTGGCTACCTGAGCTCAGGGAGAGGAGGCTGTACTCAGCCCAGGTCTCCTTCAGGTCTTAGTCGCCCCACACAGGGAGCCAAGAGCTGCAAGTAGACCCAAGGCTACCTGCTTGTCCTTGACCTGAGAGTTCTCTGACTTCTCAGGGCTGAGGGGGCTGTAGAGGAACCCACCTGCTGCTGCAGTGAGGATAAACACAGTCCCCAAAAGGTTCTTGCCAGTTACCTCTGTTCTACGGGGAAGCTGCAGGAGAGCCTAAAAGAAAGCGCTGAGGGGCCCAGAGGAGGGGTCATCCCGTTTAATAGCCTGGAGGGGCAGTCAGTTACTGGGACACAGCTCGCCTCCCCCCACCCAGGGGCCACAGACAAGTCCCTGGTGATTCCTCTTCACATCCTGCAGGGAGGTACCTGAGCCAGCACCTCTCAGGGGTCTTCAGCTTCCTCTTCTAAAGACTCCTAAGGGGATCTGTCAGTGGCCACTGGTTGAGAACAAAGATTTCCATTGAACCCTTATGCTAGGCCCTCCCTGAGCTCTCCCCAGTGTCCTCAGATCCACACAGTGGCCTTGCCATCCCTGCTGCCTGTACTGCCCTTCTCAGAGCCCGCCCTAGGCTTAGTGACCAGTTGTTCCTGAGCCCCGGGTCGGCCATGCTCCCCAACGGTGCCCCCCGACGTGGCACTACCGGTTCCGGAAGCTGGGCCACCCGCCCTGGGTGCCCCCCGAGAGGTTGCATTGAGCCCTGAACATGGAGGGCTGTCCCGATCTGCGGCCACCGCCGCCGCCGCCCCATCGCGCAGTGCCTGCAGGGCCAGATTAGCCAAATTCTGGTCGTGTGCGCGCGCCCGCTCAGCCGCGCGCACCACCAGACTGTATTCGGGAGGGCAAGCCAGGCCGGCAGCCGCAGACGGGAAAGCGCAGGGAGGCGGGCGCGGCACCGGGCCAGGACCCGGTGCTGAGGTTCCCCGACGACCGCGTACAGCGTCCTGCGCACTGCCGAGGCCCAGGTGCGCCATCTCACAAAGGTTGAGCAGCAGGCATAGGCAGCTAACCACATACATGACCAGCAGGAAGACCGTCTTCTCGGTTGGCCGCGACACGAAACAGTCCACCACGTGCGGGCAAGGCTGGCGGCTGCAGGCAAAGAAGGGCGGTACCTCGAAGCCGTACAGCAGGTACTGGCCCACCAGAAAGGCCACCTCGAAGGCCGCCCTTACCACCAGCTGGGCCACGTACACGCGCATCAAGCCCTCCCTCTGGATGCGCCTTCGCCCATCGTGCTGCCCGGCCGGTCCGGGAGTGACCACCGTTTTGCTATCACCTCCACCCCCCTTGGCAGCCACATCCTCTGCGCGCTCCTCCTCCGTGTCTTCCCCCGGACCCTCGTGCACCCCCGGTTCCTCGTCCTCCTCGTCCTCCAGCGCCAGCATGGGCTCCGCCTCGCCCAGATCGGTGGCATCCGGCCAGCCAGGAGGCGGCGGTGGCAGCTGAGCCCGGGGCACGCGCCGAGGGCCGGGGCGACGACGGAGGGCGCGTCTGCGCTCCTGCTCTGAGGCGCGCGCCAGGCGGTGGACTGCATAGCCCAGGTACATGACAGAAGGGGTGGAGATGACCACGATTTGGAAGACCCAGAAGCGCACGTGTGACAGGGGCGCGAAGGCATCGTAGCATACATTGTCACAGCCCGGCTGCCGCGTGTTGCAGGTGAACTTGGATTGCTCATCCGAATAGATGGACTCGCCACCCACAGCCGTTAGCACAATTCGGAAGACCACTAGCACAGTGAGCCACACTTTGCCCACGAAGGTGGAATGATTGTGGATCTCCTCCAGCAGCCGCGTCAGGAAGCTCCAGCTCATGTTGGTCATGGGAGCGAGCAGGTGGGACCTACAGGCACGTATGATTGGTGGTCAGCAGGGGGTAACTGGGAACTGCGGGATGGGGCAGCAGAGTTGTGCTAGCAGGCTCGTCCAACAATTGGGTTCTACTTATACACCCCAGATGACTTTGAACTCACTGCTTTGCAGAAAAGTTCTTCCTCATCTGCATCCTCACCTTACGTGCTAAAGATGGGGACAGAGCATCTCCCACTGACAACTGCTCCAGCCCTTCCTGTCTTCTCTTTCCCAAAGCTCCCGAAGAAAGTACCAACTTGTGGAATGTGCACCTCTGTCCCAGGACCCTAGAGCCATAGAGCCTGTGTGCTGCCTTTATTGGCAGAGGGGAAAAACAGGGCAGTGCCAGCCCAGCTCAGCCCCAGATTGGATGCCACTCTCGTAGGGCTTACCTGAAGCCTACCAGCCACTCAGACCTTCACAACCTACTCCCCAGCTCTTGTGGTCAGAACAGCCTCCATAGTCCTGAGGCTCCATCATCCCCCAGCCCCAAACACCTAAACCATACACACCTTTTGGGTCCCAGCCCTCCCCAATACTTTAGCTTCCAACCATTCAGCAGCCTCAACCTTTCTCCTTCCACAATCTGCAAGCAGTTCTCGAAGTCCCTTCCATAAAGGACCCTCATCCTCCCCAAGACCCTGCTAGTCCTGCAGCACTTAGCCAGCCAGCTACCACACCCACTGCTCAGAGACCAGCCAGGGCTCTTTATCCAGTCCCAGTCCTAAACCCCTGGACAGTCCCAGATCTGTCCAGGCAGGACCATGTCTGGTGAGGCTACAGATGATACACAGCCACACTTGGGCACCTGTGAGCCTCAGGGATGGCAACATCCTGACCACCTCAGACTAGAACAGATACGTGACAGAGAAGGGCCCTGTAGTTCACTGATGCCCACCCTCCCTCCTCACAGCTACCACAGAGTTAGTACCTGCTCCTGGGAAGCTTTGAGGCAGGAGTCCCCCAAGCATTCAGCACTGACACTCCAGACTAGGGCCTAGGAGGTAGCAGCAGCAGGCATGGACCACCATCAGGAGTGGCGGCTCCAGGCCTCTTTATGTAGCGAGGGCCTCTGCCCTCAGGGCAGGAAGAAGGGGCAGCCAGCAGGACAAGAGGGGTTCCTGAGGAAATGTCCCCACATCCTCACATCTGTGAATTCCCTCTTGGGACTACATGTATGCAATCAGAGACACACACCCTCATGTGCATACACGCATGCACACATGTCTATGTGTGTTATATATGCAAACATTCACTTGCACATACAATATACCCTCATATGCATATGCACACAGGTGTACATTCATAGACATTTTTATACCCATATGCATACACATGCATTTAGATACAAATGTATATACAATGATGTGTACACTCATGAATACGTGCACACACATGCTGGCACACATATATTCATATATACTAACACTCATATACACTTATTTACCAACTCAACCACACATGCAAAGAATCAAGACATAGACAGAAGAGCTCAAGCACAAGTGATCCCTTACACATGCACACTCCCACGTCAAGAACGAACACATCCACACAAGCATATTCACAGGCTGCTACACCTCAGGGGCCACTCCTACTTCTCTGCCTCAGACATGGACACACAGTTGGGCTACCTGGTGCCTTCTCAGGCGTGGATTCAACTCTCTTACCTCAACTGCAATCTTAGCCCCTACTTGAAACCTCAATCATAGGAGCCTAAGGCAGGATCTGGAACCAGGAGTTCCCCAGTAGAGCTGCTTAGCAGTATGTGGTATTTAATAACAGATCTGTGGTAAAGCTTTGGTTGGCAACTTGCCATTTCTCTGGTATACCTACTCCTGTCATTGTAAGATGTGTACAGGCAACAACAAAGACACTGTAGTTTAACCCTGGGCTGACTTTGGCCCTGGACAGACAGTGGGACTTTGCTTTGGAATGACCTATCACTTGCTGCATGCATACTAGCACATCTATTCACTCTCAGGCACAGCACTAAGTGCTATGGTTGAAGAGCTGACCTGGAAAAACCAGGACCCTGTGCTCAGGCGGGGGGGGGGGGGGGAGGCAGACAACTTCTAAACTTGAACCTCTAGCCTGTAATTTTCCTGCCTAGCCCTGGCGCTGGAACACAGCAGGCACCTCAAACTACAGAGGGTCAGACCTATATGTCAATCTCTCCCCCAGTGTGACCTCTCCACCCTTGGATTACTTTATCTGAGTTGCTGTCTCCTGCACATCTTGGGTTTAGCAGTAAACCCTGAACCACCCACACTTGCCACCTGCACCAGGTGGCCACCGTCTCTCTGGTCCCAGCTGCTTCACTCTTCCTTATAAACCTGGCTCCATGCCCACTGAGTACCTTAGAATGCACACTGAACAGATTGTCCCTGCTGCCCTTCAATGGCTTTGGAGCCTGTCGTGAAACTCGCCCTGTAGACCAGGCTGGCCTGGAACTCACCAACATCCGCCTGCCTCTGCCTCCCAAGTGCTGGGATTAAATGCACGCACAATGGCAATTTATTTATTTTTGGTTTTTCAAGACAGGGTTTCTCTGTAGCTTTGGAGCCTGTACTGGAACTCACTCTTGTAGACCAGGCTGGCCTCAAACTCACAGAGATTCACCTACCTCTGCCTCCCCATTGCTGGGATTAAAGGCGTGCGCCACCACCGCCCAGCCTAGATTTATTCATTATGTATACAGTGTTCTGCCTGCATGTGTGCCTGCAAGCCAGAAGAGGGCACCAGATCTCATTATGGATGGTTGTGAGCCACCATATAAGGTTGCTGGAAGAGCAGTCAGTGCTCTTAACTGCTGAGCCATCTCGCCAGCCCTCAATGGCTTTTTTTTTTTTTTAAGACAATGTTTCATGTGGCACAGACTCCTTATTCATTGACTTGTAAGAGTTAAGATGACCTTGAACTCTTCAGCCTCCTCTATCTGCCTGCAACGTGTTGGGATTTTTAGGCGTGTACAAGGCTCAGCTCCTTCAGTAACTACTGGCTAGGGCACTTATCAGCGTCTCACTTAGCCACTGTGCCAAGTGCCCTGCCCTTTCCTCAGTTGGCTCCTGCTATACTCTCTCCTGTGCTAGTGCCCATACCTGCTGCCTTTCCCTGATTGTACAATCACCTGGCCATACAAGTTTTATAAACACACACACACACACACACACACACACACACATTTGCACCTATGCACACTCATTACTCCAGTCTGCCTATCAGAGGTTTCCCAGTCACTATAGGGGTTAATTTTCTGATATATCTATGTGCTGGGGACTCCAGGATGCATCTGTGTTTAGCTTGGTGAATGCGGGCTCTCACAGCGAATACTTACAGATACACCATGAAAAGCTGTGATGTGCGTACGTGCTCTGGTTGGTCCTCTGATGGGCCCTGACTGCAGAAACACCTGAGTAAAGCACTTTCTTAGATGGGTATGATCATGCTGCCTATAATTCTAGTACTTGGGAAGCATAGGTAGGAAGACCAGGATTTCAAGGTTACCCTCTGCTACATGGTGAGTTTGATGCCAGCCTAGACTACACTGAAACCCTTTCTCAAACCGCAGTCATAAAATAAACAAAGAACGTATCTAGGTCCCAGGCTCTAACTTCTCATCCAATAAGAGGAAGTGGGAATCCCTGGGAAAGTGGCTGATCAGATGGCTAGGTAAGGGGATGAAGACTGTGGGGCAAGCTCAAAGAGGAAGAACATGCTTACACACTCATGAACATTGGTAAGTGGATTGTGGTTATAGATACCCTGGATGACAGCAACTGCATCAATTTAACCAATAGACTAAGTAGGATTGTGGTTATAGATACCCTGGATGACAGCAACTGCATCCATGCATCCAACACAACCATCAGGCTGAGGAGAGGAGAAACATCCCCTGCTTCTGTGCAGAGGAACTGCCAACCACTCTCAGAGTCTCCACAGGAGTAGGAAGCGCACACCCCACTCCAGGGGTTGCAGCCTTGTATCAGATGACAGCATGAAAGAGAGACCTGCGCCTTTGCAGTGACACCTGAGGGCATCATGGCGTGTGAGTCCTGTTGATACCATCTAGAAAGACAGCCCATCACTCTCAATGTTCTTCCCAAAACCCATAACCCAACAAGAACAAGAGAAAACACTGAGCAACTTCCAAGAGGGGCACCCTACAAAATACCCAGGTGGTATTCAAGTAGCCGTGGGCAGCTAAGACAAGGAGGCTGTCTTCCAAGAGGTGGCCCACTGTTGGGAAGGGCCAAGCGACTGTAGCAAACACCTGGCCTGTGGTCTGCGGCTAGCACAGAGGCAGCACCAGTTTATTATGGTGACATGCTTCATATTAATGGGGCCTGGGATACGAGGTCCTCTGGGAACGTTTCTGTACTGTTATCCTCTCTGTTGTGAATTTAAACATGAAGACACGAGGCTTCAACAGAGGTGTGGAGCCATCTCCAGCACTCACAGTTTGTTGAAGGGGTTCATTCAAGCAACTCCTGCTCCAAAGCAGCTCCTACATCTTGATCCAGAATTAGACTCTGTGGTGGTGGTGGTGGTGATGTGCTTCACCTTGAGCAGGGGGTGCCCCCCGCCATATACACAGTACATAGCTCATTCAGCCCGTCTCTCTTGGGAAGTCTCTCTAGAATATAAGTGGTATCCTCCACTGTAAGCAGTCCTTTCACACATCCAGCCCTTAAGGGGTCCTGAACTGACCAAAGCCCTGAAGCTAGCATGGTATGTGGCCCAGGGTGTTATTAAACATATGGCCAGTAATTTGGTGTATGTGTGTTGGGGAGAGGTCCTCGATTGTACCCTAGGACTATCAGGAGATGCAAATGAGGGGTGAGTACAGTGATAATTACTGTGGCTAACAAGCATTAGGACCTGGCATACCAGGTTTCAAGCCCTGGGTATCTAGTATAAACTACCCACCTCCCCCTATGACCTATGGGGTCTCACCTGCCACCTTTCCTCACTGGCATCCAAGACACCCTCCTAGGAGCTCAAGCAGACAGAACTACTGGGGGCAGGGGGGATGATATCCAGAAAAATACAAGGGCCAGCATGGGCCTAGTATGAGAGTCACAACTCTGAGTCTGGATAAATCTTACAGGTTAATAGCTGCCTTCAGCTAAACTGCATTCCAGAAACAGAGATGCTGGCCTGGATAGGCACCACCAAAATCTACATGCCTTACTTTGGAATTGCCCAGGGAGTACACCTGTGCCCAACTACTTGTAGAAAGTCCACACTCACCCTGATCCTTGTCCTTCAGTCCTCCTGCCTCACCCACCAGTCCCTCCCACAGCTGGGCCAGGTTCCCCTGCCCACCTCTAGAACTTAATTCCCAGCAGGGTCTATTGAGGCTTTCCCCATACAACAACAACTCCAGCCAGCAGGCAGCAGGCCTTCCTGGGCAAGAGCTCCCCTTCATCCTTGGACTTAGTTACCCACCCTCACATCTCCCTCTGCAGTCCCTGGACATAGCAGGCAGGTGGGAAAACACTTAGAAGGAACTTCTGTGCCAATTACAGGGTCACACTAAACCATCAGCAGTTGTGCAGGTCCAGCTGCTGAGAGGTTCTGCTTGGCAGAAGGCAAGTGGATAAAGAAAGTTTGTTTAGTTTGAGTACACTGGGCCTGGGGCCCATACTGATCCCCTGGACACACTGCAACTAGCTGGGGTGGACTGGCCCATCTTAGAACAGCCTGAAGGGCCTCAGCTGCTGGGGGAGGTACTGAGTACACCCTCAGCTCACCAGTTAGTTCCCATCTTCCCCACCATGGGTCTAGTTACCCAAGAAGAGCCGAGAAGTCAGCTGGACCCAAGCTGATGGACACCCCGAGGGTCCCTTAATGCAACAAGACAAGGTCTGGCCAGAGCTCCAGTGAGTCTTCCAGACTGGAACTGCCTGTGCCTGTGAACTGCCAGTGAGGATACAGGAGCTTGGAAAACTCCACATTAGCCATGAGTACAGACCAACCAAGACCCTGCCTGTCTGCAGCCCCATCGGTGCCCTCCCTACCTTCTCCAAGCTGGGAATGCAAGCCTCTGGCTGAGCCCTTCCACCTGCCGGAGGGATGCTGGTCCTCTCTAAGGGCATACTGCCGGCTAGGGCTAGGGCCACCTCTCACCACCAAGCACAATGGGGGGTGGAGGAGGGGCCCTCAAGGGCTCCATTGTTCCCCCCAGGGTCTGAATCCATGATTGTCCCTGGGGGTGGAGCAGCTAGGAGCTAGACAGGCCTGCTAGGGGCCCAGGCAGGTCCTGGCCCTCTCTTCCCCAGCCTCCACTTGAGGTCCAGGAAGTTCTGGCTCACCGTTCTTGAGGAACATCTGTACTTTTGGAGGCATCCCAGGGCTCCCCGGTCTTTCTGGCTCCTTCTGCCTGGGTACCTGCCTGCCCTCTTCACACCCACATCCATCGAATCTGCCCAAGTCCTGTCCCAGGAGCGGCCTCACCTGGAGATGCACAAGGGAGAGCTGTAGCTGACCACCGGGTGGGGGTAGCTGGCAACAGCCACTGCCCTCACCGCAGGGACTGCTCTCCTGGGCGGAGTCAGGCAGCCTGGGCTGAGAGCCCAGAGGAAGAAGGGAGGACAGCAGGACCCAGACAATCAGAATGTCTCATCTTGGGCAGAAGGGGAGGGACAGCCTCCCTCAATTTACAGACATCTCTCTCAGGAATGCTGCACCCGCTACAAGCTCTAGGGCTCAGAATCTGGAATCTCTACAAAAGCCCAAGGCTCTACCCCTCTTCTACCCCAGAAAGCTTCACTGCCCTGCCTTGGGGCTTGGAAGGCTCTACATAAAGGCAAGAGAACATAGTACCCACAGGTCCCAGGGCCAGCACTATGTCCTCATTTTCACGCTCTTTCCTGGTGGCTGGGCACTTTCCTTCCTGGCCAGTTATTCTTGTCACTATGTATCCCTAAATGGCTCAGAAACAGCTCAAAAAGGCAGCAGTACCAGGTTCTCCAGGACTGAGCCCCATTCCAACCCATGCTGGCTGTCCCAGTTGACTGGTTCCAAGGGGAAGAAGTGATCACAATCAACCCAGCTAGCATTCTGATGACTGGTGGACCCTGGAACCCCCTTGGCAGCTTTCATACGGGTTGACCAGGTAGAGGTAGGCAACCAGGGGTCATAGGCCCAGTGTGGATGGCTGTGACACTCTAACCCAATAGTTACTTTATTAGGATGTCAGTCCTGCTCCAGCAGGAGGAACAGGGACAGCCCAGGGAGAATAGAAGTGAGTACATTTCCGAGTCCTTCAGCCTCAGCAAGCCAGCACAGGGTGAAGAGCCACCATGTGGCCAGACAAGGGGCAGCTCCTCCTACTCCACAGTAGAAGTCTATACAAGTCCTTGGTGCCCTGGCAAAGACCACCCCACCTCATAACCCAGATATATTTGGGGCACAGGCATCACTCTGTGGAATGAAGCAGACCCTCAGGCATGGCCAGTTCCCTGAGCTTTCTTGATTTCCTGCCAAGGAAAAAGGAAAACAGAAAGTTAGGAGAGGCAGGGAACAGGGAGGGATGGGTCTCAGATCCTCCCCTGGCCCCCAGGGACTCTTGGACTTTGCGCTTGGACTTGATCAGCTGGCAGTTGGCAGAGCCTCAGCTGCTTACAGTGCAGCAAGGGTGTGAGCCCTGGCCTCATCAGGGTTTGCTGGACTCACAGGGTGGTTTGAGCAGGGGACTGTGCCAGGACAGGGTAGGTGGGGAGGGGCCCACCTCAGACAGTGCCTGCTTCAATGTTGCATAGGCTTTATCCAAGTTGTCATTGATGATCACCAGGTCAAACAAGCCAGGCTCCCTGCCTGGGAATGAGACAAGACAAAAGTCAGGAATACAGGGAATCTGGCCCCTTCCCACTGCAACAACCTCTACGACTACTCTTGCCTGTCACCGTAATAGGACAGTCAGGGCTAGATGGAACTCTGCCTTCCCCTCTAGAGAACCTCAAGTTGAGTACTAGAGTATGGACCACTGACCCCTTCCCAGGCCTCTATTTAGAACTGGCACTACCTGTGACGGGCTCCCATATGCACATAGAGAAACAGCAAAAGGTCGCAGTGACAGTGTCTGAATGTGGGCCAAACTCAGACCCAGAAACAAGAGCACAGCTTGCAAGAAGATGTCTATGACACACTCAAGTCCGTAAGAGAAGTGTGGCCCCTCAAAGGCTCTGCAGACAGTCTCGAACTCCTCCATCTTTGCCCTTGGTCCTCCCTGTCTCCTGGTGAATGGGCTGGCCACATGCTCATAAGGTATAAATGACCTGACCACACTCACTGCTCTCCATGTCAGCCTGTGCAGCTGCCAGCCGCTTTGCCAAGCTCTCCTCAGTCTCAGTGTTGCGCAGCCGCAGTCGCTGCTCCTGAAATGCAGGCCTTTGTTGAGTCAGCGCTCTCCAGGTCTCAGGGACTGCCCTGCGGGCCTCCCACACCAGGTACCTACCAGCACAGCCAGCGACGGGGGCTGCACAGAGATGTAGATAGGGTGCAGATCAGTCTTCTTGATGTTGCGCACACCCTGGAGGTCAATGTCTAGCACGCAGATGCGGTTCATGGCCTGCACAGCCCGGACAGCCGCCTTGCTGGGAGCAGGGAAGGGCAGTGAGCAGACATTCAATGGGACCCAAGGCAAGACCCTAGCCCTTAAGCCCACAAGAGTGCTTGCCTGCTGGCCACCCTCTCAGGAATAAACACATTGGCTGCTAAACTTCAACCTTGGTAGTCTCTTAAAGCTTCCAAGAGCTTCAGAGAAACTCAGCTCCTTCCTCCCCAAGGCCCATCCTAGGTAGGCCTAGCATGGAAAAGAAGAGGCTCACTGAACCCAGCACCATCCGTACTTCCCAGAACATCCAAGCATACCCTCGGCCTTGTCAAGTCCTCTGAAAGCACAGTCCTTTTTGTCCTGCAGCCAAATGCCAAAAAAGTTTGGGCTTTTGGTCGGGCCTGAGCTGCCTGCCACTGCCTACCTCTTCCTGTGTGAGGTACTCATGTGGCTCCTGCCACACAGGATATATTAAGACAGATGAGCCTGGGGCATGACTGGGCCTGCCTGCTCCCTGGAGTCTATCAGCTAAGCCATCCCAGCCTAGGCGGGAGACTGGGAGGACATCATATGACAGAGGGGAGAGGTGGAAGAGTTTCCTTCTGCCAATTCTGGGGTCACCTTGATCCACATCAAACTCAGCCCACCTTGTCCCATACAGGTTCCCCGAGAACTCAGCATGCTCAATGAAGTCCCCTGCTGCAATATCACGCTGCATCATCTCCCTGGTCACAAAGTAGTAATCTGGAGAGAAAGAGGGCTTTTCAGAGGATACCCAAAACCCAGACCTGCCTGGCCTGGCCCCTCTCCATCCTACACAGGACTGTTATAGATAGATCCAGACTGGAACAGACACCACTGTTCTTACTGTCCTTGCTGGGGGACTAGAAATAGTCAAGTTCCACAGAAGAGAGGGATACCCCTGCCCTCACTCTGATGATGCACAGACTCTAATCAAGCTACTAACCCAAAGGCAAGAGATACTCTACTGCTGGGGACTGAGTTCTGTTATAGCTAAGGGACAGAGCAAACCCTCATGCCCTCCCACTGTCCCCTTCCCTCCACAGTAAGTCATGCCTGAGACCCTTGGATTAGCAGGTCAGCTCACCTTTGCCATTTTCCTCACCAGGTCGTGGATTCCTTGTAGTATCTAGAAAAAAGACCTATCACACACTGAAGAGATGGGTGTATAACCCTTCCACCCTACCCAGGGTCTTCCCTTGCAGGCCTGCTCAGTTCTCTGGTTGTATAGCAGCAGGTGGTGCTCACAGCCAGTGGAAAGCCCAGACCAGATCTCAAGAGGTCACTGGGTCCAAGATGCTTACTCTAGATGAAGGGAGGGAGAGGGTAATAGGGTTGAGGGGGTAAGGATAGCATCTCCTAGGCTGGGGGTGTATATTTGGAACTCTAGTAGTCCAGTGCTGGGATAGCCTCTGAGCTCCTTGCCCTTCAGGGTCCTGGGGCACTCACGGGACACACTGAAGCCAAAGATGCTGCCATGTTCCTGGAACAACTTCTTGAGCAGGGTGCTCTTCCCTGCTCCTGACGGCCCACTCAGCACCACTGGCCTAGGTCCTGCCATGCCTGTGAGAGGAGGGGCATCACAAACATGAGAGGTTTTGCCCTTGCTGGTACCCTGGCATTTTTCTAAGAGGCAGGGGTATGAGTAACTCCCAAGGGCAACATCCCCCTATAATGCGAACCCTCCTCTCAACAGTAGTCAACTGGTAAGATAGTAAACACAGGCAGGAAGGCCAACAGGATTCCAACATCCAGCTTCACACACACCCAACAGGATGTCCACAGGCATGTGACCCAGAAACAGACAATGCAGCATTCACTGGTCCCACCCCATATAGGCTGCCCTCCAGAACCTGACCTCACACTGCAGTGCCCATAAATGGCACTGCCCACTGGGAGGTCCAAGTCTGAAAACAGAAATTCCCTGGCACTACAAACATGGCATCCTCAAGTCTATTCAGTTCAAACCTGTTTGGGAAACGTCCCACTAGACATGCAACCATCCCTAACTTCTCTGAGAAAGGCAATCTGTAGCTGGCCGGCCAAGAGTTAGAATAGCACCCCTAGCCTCCCAAGGGGAAAGTGAATGAAGCTCAGCTCAGGCATCCGGATCTGCCGCAGGTAGGGGCTGCCAACAGAGGAGCAACTGCTGTGGTAGGCATGAAAGCACAGAAACCTCCTCCATCACAATCTGATCTAGGACCTGAGCCTCCTTCCCTTACCCTAGGACCATCTTATCTCACTGGTTCCCAAACTCATGCCTAAGCACCCAGCTCCACCTCACCCTCAGCCCTAATCCTCCCTCCAGCCTGGCCTCTGAGCAGGTCATCATTTACACAACCAGGACCCTGTTTATGAAGGCCTTCCTGCCTCCCCAGGATGGAAATCACCTACTTGATGTGCTGCAGCCTCCGTGGTTAACCTGGGAAGAGTCAATGGCTGCTCTACACCTAGGGACAGGGGACTAATCTCTGCCAAGCCCATACCCCGCCCTTCAATAAATCCCTGGGGCACCCAGCCCTGCCTGCACTGGCTGCAAAGAGATCAGCCCCGTTCTTCCACTGTGCAAGAAGGAAAAGGAATTACTTGTCCTTCTCCTGAGACTACACCTGTCCAAATAACCAGGGCTGCATCTGACACACTGACAGATGGGGAAGAGCCATCACAGGGGCTGAGAGACATGAGCTGCTGCTCTCTACTGAGGTTGAGGAAAAGGGAGATCAGGGAGGGTATTTGGGAGCTGGAGGGGCTGTCTGCCAACCCAAGCACCTTTGGCCTTTAAGGGTGAGGCCCACACAGCTTTTGGTCCAAAAGGCATAGGCTGCAGGAAGGGCGTCAGCTTAGGGAAGTCTTGTGTTCTTAAT